TTAATTGTGAGTTTCTCCATCACAGCCTGGGGATTTTTCGCTTGTCTGAAAGCAGACTGCACAAGGAACGTGTACAGATAACATCATGGCATTATGATGTACAACACCGCACTGGGAGAAGTCGATAAGAATTGACACATATTTGCATATGAAAAAATAAGAAAAATCAATGAAAATTTTAAAGTCAAGCACTCAGAATGCTACCATTAGAGTTTCTTTAACATTACACAATCAGTGAACAGGCAAGTGTTGAACAACTACCCCAGCAGCCCACATGGCAGTTCTAGGAGGACTCAGGGGCAGGATCCTGGAGAGTAGAGATGTGCATGATGGAAAAATGTGTAACTAAATCATTTAATTCATCATATTCATTATGTTGGAATGATTCGTTTTCAGAACGATTCGTTATTTCGGGAGAGTATATATTCGTTGTTTTGAATTGATTCGTATTTTTGGGAAGTTCTGTTATTCTTTTGCTATTTCGGAAGATTGGCTATATTAGTTTTAACATAAATAATACATATTAATTCATAGTTACATAGATAGTCTGGCTGAAAAAAAACAAAAGTCCATCCAGTTCAACCATTAAAAAAAAAAAAGTTATAATCCTACACCCACAGTTGATCCAGAGGAAGGCAAAAAAAAACCCAGCAAAGCATGATCAAATTTGCTCCTGCAGGGAAAAAAATTCCTTCCTGATCCCCAGAGATGCAATCAAGTATTCCCTGGATCAACTTTACCTATAAATGTTAGTACCCAGTTATATTCTGTGTATCTAAGAAAGAATCCAGGCCTTTTTTGAAGCAATCTACTGAGCTGGCCAGAACCAACTCTTGAGGGAGTCTATTCCACATTTTCACAGCTCTCACTGTGAAGAAACCTTTCCGTGTTTGGAGAATACATGTCTCCTCCGAGTGTAAAGAGTGCCCCCTTGTCCTCTGTGATGACCTCAGGGTGAATTACTCTACATTGAGTTCACTATATGAACCACTGATGTATTTATACATGTTGATCATATCCCTCCTTAATCTCCTCTTCTCAAGAGAGAATAAATTTGTTAAGTTAAGTTGAATTAAATTTCCCCATTCCCTAATGACTGTGTTTGTTGGGCCACACACATACAAAATTAAATGAATGGTCTCTCAAGTTGAACCCCAATACAAAAAGAATACTATTAGAATATTCACTCTACACTACGCTCACTGGAATAAAAACAAATGGATCTGATTACATTTGGATCATTACGTTATTTGGGATGCTTCAATCATTAACAAAAGGCCAAAACTATTGCATCATGTCTTCCAAATGAAACAAATGAATAAGAATACATTTGTTGTTTTCATTATAATTTATTTTGTTTTTTTGAAATTCGTTACTGTTGTGATTCAGACATACGGATATATCTGAATCTTTGAAGAACGTAAATTTCCTCCAAATTTCGATTCATAACAAAATGAACCATACATGTCTTATGGAGAGGGTCACTAAAAGCAAAGGAAAAAAAGACTTCACCTTCTGTGGTTTTCATACACCACCTTCTCACTTGATCACTGTCCAGCTTTTATTGTAGAAACTGAAAGTTCAGCAGTTACTTGATTGTTGGCTTAGGTTTCATGTGCATCTACAGCCAGAAATGTTTGTTTGGATATTGCCTAAAGCCAGTCATAGGTGGTTCGAAGATGGCTGAACCGGCTGAGATTCAAACCATGTATGAGCAGGCTGAATGTACCCAGGTTAATTGATCAGCTTGGGTACAAGCAGCCTGTTGGTTTTTACATGCGATTATTTACACCGCTATTATAGCCGCTAGCAGTAATCACAGTGCTCTCTCGGCGGGTACAGCTCTCCTCAATCCTCTGCCTGGCTCCATGGGAGGGATTTCCTCATCAACGCGGACTCTGTTGATGGGGAAATCGAGTTGCATGGTTGCAGGAAACAAAATCACTCAAAGGCCAGCTTAAGCCTGAATAGTCTAAATTCCTATCCCACTTGCTTGGTTCAGGTTGCTTGCTTATTTAAATCCTCACACACACTGCAGATGGAGAGAAGCAGAAGCCTTCAGCAGCAACAGCAGCTGTAAAGGAGAAAGCCTTAGGGCTCATGTACACTGCAGCTGATAAACTTGCGTTTAGGAGCTGTTCAGCGTTTTTTTTTCAGCAGTCCCTGAACTCTCCCTAATGTGTCCATGCACCATCATCGTTTACAGTCATTTACAGGCATTTGAGTTCACAGTCGTTTTTTTTGAACGCACAAAATTTGCGTTCAGCAGTCGATTTTATCAGCGTTTCAAACGCAAAATGCTTGTAAACGCGGCAAAGCGGTTGTGTTGGAAAAAATTTTTTTTTAACTCTTCCAGTTTCCGATGCTGTCCTGAGCCTTTTTTCATCATGAAAAATGCACGCAAAGTGTTTTCAAGGTACTCAGATAGACAAAACACTGAACACAGGATGCTACCAAGCTTGTCACACATTGTAATGACCAATTTACACCTCAGACCTCTCCCACCCTTGGAAACAAAAGATACGGTAATGACCAGTCACACCTCAAATTCCTCATGAAGACCAACTGCCAGGTGGCCTTAATGACTCACTCCACCAGACACCTTTCCCACTCTTGGAAACAAAAGAAATGTTAATGAGCAACTCACACCTAGCTAATCTCAACACATACTGCTCTCTCTGCTTCTACTCTCTGTATTTCTCTGAAACAGTCTGAAATAGTTAATAATTTACCACTTTTCAGTGCATTCTGGACATTTGGGAGGTTCTCCTGTGCATACCTTTAAAAAACACTTCTAAACGCAAACGCGCATAAACGCGTTATGCAAAAGCAGCTAAACGGCCGTTTTTTAACTTACATTTTCCAGCAGTCAGTTTCCATCGTTCAGAAGTGTCCCGTGTACATGGGGCCTTAACCACACTTTTATATAGCATGAGATGTGAAGTGTTTGCACATTTGGTTACAGTTTGAAGTTTTCAGTCATGAATAGACACCAATGAAGGAAGGGCTGTTATGAAGATAGCCAAAAACCACCAATGACTACCACTATAAAGAGAAACTATCAACAGAAGGACTTACTGTAGTTCCTACCACCAACAACTTAAAAGGAGTATATATGTAACCATAGAAGATAGAAGCCTTGCACTGTAAGCCCCTTGAGGGCAGGCACTGATATCAATGTATAGTATGTAAAGGGCTGCAAATATTGTCAGAAATTTAAATACCTGTAATAATTAAACCAACTCCACCACCACTTTCTGGTCCTTTATGTATTCTGGATCAGCACTGAACAGAATTTCTGTATGTATAAATAATGCTTGTAATTAGCACTCACACATACATATTCATTGTACAGCTGTTAAATGGTAAAAAATCTACACTGGTGAGGGAAAATTACCAAATTACTGGCACTCAGAGCAAGTTCTATGCCCTAAATCATGATTGCCTGGCAAGCATTCACCCTTTCTTGAACACCTGCTGGTCCTTGACAGTTAGTAGGGGAGTAATTGGAAGATTTGAGGGTTACCTGTATCACTGGGCAGTGTATGGGTTATCAGCAATTGAAAGCCAACTCAAGAATCATCACTACAAGTCAACGCTTTTTGAAAACCTCCAAACATTACCCATTTTGTAATAGATGTTACCTGTGCATAGTCAACAAATCAGCAAAACAACTGAACAAATAAACATCATGATACCAGGCAGTATCTGTTGCTTAGTGATCATAAATAACACATTTCCACAGTTTTAATAATTGGACTAACTTTCCTACAGTTCTCTGTATAAAGCTGCATGCACACTGTATTCTCTATGATGCCTTTTCTCCTACAGAAGTTTAACAGCAGAAAAGCAAGGTAAAAAGCCACATTTTTGAATGCACGTTAATACCATTTATGTCTGTTACTGCATTCTATTGGCCAGAATGTTATTTTATTTTAGAACATAATAACAGGTGAACGCACACAAACGTGCCTGGGGTTAACACGCGTTTAGGTGCTTTTGAGCGTTTTTATGCTCAAAAGCTCAACTCCTGAACATGACTGGTGAGGTTTTTATTGCCTCTAAACATCTCTGTCTCTAAACTCTTGTAAATACCTACAGTGTGCATAAAGGATGTTATTTACTAAAACTGGAGAGTGAAAAATCTGGTGCAATTCAGAAACAGAAACCAACTCAAGCACAGAAAACAATCAGCTTCCAGGTTTTATTTTCAAAGCTTAATTGAATAAGCTGAAGTTAGAAGTTGATTGGCTAACATGCAAAGCTACACCAGAGTCAGTGTACCAGCTTTAGTAAATCTCCCCCACAGGCTAAAATGGAGGGGTGTTTAGAGTCAGAGGAAAAAAAAAAGCTCTAATGCCTGTAAGCAGCATTTTCTTTGCTCAAGTGTGCATGAGCCCTTGTATTTCTGTCTACAATGTACATATTGCACTCTGTAACCATCTAATTTAGAATCCTGAGTTACTACTAAGAGTTCAAGTGGAAAACAGAAGATCACTTTAAATGTCTCCTCATGCTGCATAGACTCATCAATGATACTGTTTGAGTTTGACTGACTCCTGCACTGTCCTGCAGCGGCGGGGGTTTTAGGAGGTTGACATCAAGACAGACAAATACTAGTGCTTAGGACCTCTGTAAAGTGTTCACTTCTAAGCTACTTAAACAAATGAAATAAAACATAGTTAAAATATTTTGTATATATGTAAAGGTTTACCAAGCAAACGGAATGTGGCATCTTAGCATAAATCAATTTGCTTCTCTTTAACAGCCTCCCGCCCGCCATATAGTACAGTGACGGGCGCAAGGCAGGTCTCTCGATCTGAGAGAACGTCATCCCATTCTAACCGCACATGCGCGGCTCCGGGAGCGCGCAGATCGGTGGTATGCTGTGTCCCTCGAACACAGCAGATCATCGATCGACGGAAAGAGCCAAAGATGACGACGACTCGATCATGTGATCAGCTGTGTTCAATCACAGCTGATTGCATGTAAATAGGGAAATGCCGGTTATCGGCATTTCTCTCCTCACGAGCTATTGCGCTGACAGCTCGAGAGGAGAGGAGAGCCGATAATCGGCATCCCTCAGAGGGGACATGTACACTGATAAATCAGAGAACTGATGATCAGTGTGCCCTGATGATGATCTGTGTAGCCCCAGCAATGCCACCTGTCAGTGTCCATCAATGCCACCTGTCAGTGCCCATCAGTGCCACATCAATGCCACATTAATGCCTACCAGTGCACATCAATGCCACATATCAGTGCCCATCTGAGCTGCCTTTCAGTGTCGCCTATCAGTGCCAGTCAGTGCCACCTATCAATGCCAGTCAGTGCTGCCAATCAATGCCACCTATCAGTGTGCATCAGGGCCGCCTATCAGTGCCCATCAGTGCTGCCTATCAGTGCCGCCTAACAGTGCCATATATGAGTGCTGCCTTTCAGTGCCCATCAGTGATGCCTGTCAATGACCATCAGTGCCACCTACCAGTGCCTCCTCATCAGTGACACCTATCAGTATCCATCAGTGCAGCCTATCAGTGCCCATCACTGCAGCCTTATTAGCGCACATCAGTAAAGGAGAAAAATCACTTATTTACAAAATTTTATAACAAAAACTAAGCGCTGAAAGCTGGAAATTGGCCTAGGCAGGAAAGGGGTATAAGTGCCCTGTAGGCAAGTGGTTAATCAGAGGATCTAAACACATCTGGGTAAACTAAGATTGATCTTATTTTTTTGCATGACAAGTCTGATCCACAGGTAGATGTGAAGATTTAAAACTAGAACAAATGTTGTTTCTTAAAACATATGGGGGCTGATATTTACTGGTGTAGCTAATGATGCCTGGGGCCCAGTTTGATTTTGGGCCTTGCAGCCCTCTTGCTGCCCCCACCCTTCCAACTACATGCTCTGCTACACCTGCTTTTAACATAGAGCATGGTGACAGGTACTGGTACCATACTCCAGAGAAGAGCTACGAAGGGAAGCTGCACTGGGCATGTACAGAACGCAGCAACATTCTCTATTTTTCTTCTGACTTTGGGTCATGTAATTTCAGCTCACATGTCCAAATGCGGGGGAAACAAAACACAACTTTGCTCTAGAGAAAGTTTCCTGGACCCCTCAGACTTGGGTACAACCAGCCTGTTGGATGTTTCATGCAACTGTTCCCCCAGTAATGACAGCTCCCTCTGAAAGAACATGAAAGCTCTGCAGGAGGGATTACCCCATCAACACCAACTGTGTTTATGGGGGAATCGAGCATTTTTCTTTTCTGCAACCTATGGTTGGAGGAAAGAAAAGCGCATCTTCTATGGCCTGTCTTAGGGTTACAACTGGAGGCTGGAAAGGAAGGGTTTGGGCTGCTCTGGAGCACAACATTAATACAAAGAATCCAGTGTATTCCATAAAGCAATACACCATATTATCAGCATGTTCTAAGGTGAAATAATGGATGGAGCTCCAAATGATGATATCACCAGC